TCTTTTAGGGGAAAAGAGTCAATTCTTAATTTAAAAGGTCAACTATTAACCAAAAATTGTGATAGCTTTATGTGAAATGTCTATGTAACCTCATATACATGTCCACATATTTTCTTTTAGATAAATAGAGTTTTAAATTATTTAAATATGTTAACCAATAATGTAATTATATTAATTAATTTGTCAAGCGTTAAATAAAATATCATAGATTAAACAAAACCAACTAAAAAAATTAAATTTTAGATATAAAAATGAATTTTTTAAAGATTAAGAATTAATTAAAATATAGTAATTTTAACATTCAATAGTCTGGCACGAGAAATTGTGATTTTAAGTTTTAGCAACACGATACCATTGGTGATGAGTAGTGGATTTAAAATTCAAATTTGTTTTAGCAACATAGAACATAATGGTGATAGGGGGTAAACTTTTAGCGACATAACTTGTGTTATTGAAAGTTCTATATATACCCCAAACCTCAGCCATCTCCATGCATTCTACAATTCTCTCCACCTCTTTCTCCTGTGTGCTGCACCATCCTGTGATGATCCGCGTGCCTTTCCCCCAAACATCCAGACCTCTCAACCTCTCTTTTTTTTTTCTTTTAACATGTCCTCCATATCTTATCACCAATTTTTATCCACTCTTTAATAAGTTAATTTTACTTGTTCTGTGTTATCATTAAATTCTCATATACATATATATATATATATATCAATAATTAAATAAATTCCATCAATTACTTAAACTCCCTTGAAGCATATTATATGCAATATTTTTGTAAATATTACCTTATTAAATAGGTATCAATTTATTTAAAAGTTAATATATTTATAAATAATCATATATAGTAATTAATAATTTTGTTATTTTGTTTGTTTTGTAAGTAATTTTTAATAAAATAAAAAATTCAAGTTTGGTAAGATACCCAACCAGACTCTAAACTTTAATTAACTTAAGTTTTTAATTTGCATATATCAAGTTAAAATTTATTAATGAATCTAATTGATAAATATTTATTATTTAGTTATAATTTTTTTATACGTATAATTAATTACATTGTATGTGAGATATCAAGAGATTTAATATTTGGTGATTATAAAAAAAGTGAACTTCGTATTTAAATATTGTAATATCATTAAATTTAATACTAATAATATAAAATTAATTAATATATTTATTATCATACAAGTGAATATAATGAATATGCGTTTAGAATATTAGTAGGTATAATTTTTTTTTATTAGGTATTCTAATGCATCATCGACAAGAGGTATGTTGTTGAAAATGTGGTTTGGTACTATTAGAATAAACATTAGAAACAAGGGGTATGTTGCTGAAAATGTGGTTGGTACTATTGGAAGAAACATCAATAACAAGAGTTATATTGCTGAAAAGTTGGGGACCACTTTCCCCTAGACTTTTTAGCAACACAAGCCACATTGCTGAAACCATATTTTCAACAATGTGGCTTATTTTGCTGAAAAGGATGAGAAAATTCACCACCCACCCACTAGATTCTGGTGCTGTATAACAGCTATTTTTTTTACCAACTTGAACCACGTTGGTGAAACTATACAATCAGCAACAACAAATATGTTGCTGAAAAGTGAGAAACCACACTCCCCCAAAACTTTTAACAACACAAGCTAGTTTGCTGAAATCATATTTTTAGCAACGTGGCTTATGTTGCTGAAAAGGTTGAAGAAATTCACTATCCATCCCATTGGATTCCAGTAAATGTTTTCAGCAATATAAGCTATATTGTTGAAACTATATTTTTAACAACATATCTTATGTTGTTGATGTATCAGCAACAAAATGTTTGTTGGTAATGTATTACCTACCAAGCCTTTTCTAACAAAGCTTTTAGCACAAGAACCATGTTGCTGAATGTAATACCCAAGGATTTCTTACTTAAGATTTAAATAAATTATTTAAGCTCTTAGAGGGTATATATGTGATAGAATTAAATTTGGGGTTAAAATTATAATGAGGTGAGGAACTCAGGGACTAGAACTTTATAATTAAATCTAAGGGACCAATTAGCAATATTTCCTTTTTGCGAAAACCCAAATTAGATTCAATTCGGCAGTTTCAATTTTCTTTCTTTTTTGGCAAATAGGAGCGTCTTCTTCTCTCGCCTGCAAGGGGGAACTGAACTTTAGGGATTTGGCCATACTAAACTAAATCCAAGGTGCATGATCTTCTAAAACTTGAAGTATTTAGGAATTCAGAATGAAGAGAATGGACAGAAGCATGGTCGGGAGATTGATTTTATTGTAGCTATTTTTAGCAACGTGGCTTATGTTGCTGAGAAGGTTGAAGAAATTCACCATCCATCCCACCAAATTCCAATAAATGTTTTCAACAATATAAGCTACGTTGCTAAACTAGATTTTTAACAATGTATCTTATGTTGCTGATGTATCAGCAACAAAATGTTTATTGGTAATGTATTACCCACCAAACATTTTCCAACAAAACTTTTAGCAACAAGAACCATGTTGCTGAATGTAATACCCAAGGATTTTTCACTTAAGATTTAAATAAATTATTTAAGTTCTTAGAGGGCATATATGTGATAGGATTAAAT